GTAATAGTGACAGGACAAAAACACAGTGGATGATGAATTCTTGATGTGAGTCTGAGTCATGGGGGAAAGATGCATGGAGACTGTGAAACAATTCATGGCACTTCCTGTGTATTATTCTACTGTAAAACAATATATCCGGTTTGTGTCATCAAAAGCTAAAGTTAATCTTTCTATTTGTAAAGCAAAGACAAAACAGTCTAATGATAGGACTTGATTTTCTTATATCAATGACATTGTTTCCAACTATTATTTTAAAACCACACTTACTTTTAAAACAGAAATTTGATGAACAAGCTTATCAGTGCCATTCTTATAATGATAAAGTCTATATCTGGCCATGCAGGTTATTCAAACTGAGACAACTGTTAACGAAGGCACATGAAGGGTCAGAGTTCCCAACCTGATTATTCCTGGCTTGTTATATAACCGTGAATGGCGTCACCCCTCAACATAGCTCTTCAGTCTCTGCAGCTAAGCCTGCGCAGCGATAACGCAGCTGCACTAAGGTCCATGAGCAGAGTCAGAGAGGAGAGAAAAGAGGGTTTAATTGGCTAATTTAACTGATTGTGCCCTGAAAATAACGTGAGTAAATCCTTTCAGAATAAAATGTGAATAAGTAAGGCTGTGAGCGCTGCCTGCGAAGCGACATAAGCAGCCATATGATATCTAATGAATCAGTGCCCCACGAAAGGCATCGTGACATTATGTGTTTGACGTAAAGTTATGTTCTTAACGGAAACTTACGTTATTAATGTATAGTTACTTAGGTTAGGTTTAGTCAAGTAAAGTCACGTAGGTTAGGTTCAGGAAAGTAAAGTTATGTACTTCACGAAAACTTACATACTTAATGTAAAGTTACTTAGGTTAGGTTTAGGCAACTAAAGTCATGTAGTTTAGGTTCAGGAAAGTAAAGTTACGTACTTAATGTAAAGTCATGTACTTCACGAAAACTTACATACTTAATGTAAAGTTACTTAGGTTAGGTTTAGGCAACTAAAGTCATGTAGTTTAGGTTCAGGAAAGTAAAGTTACGTACTTAATGTAAAGTCATGTACTTCACGAAAACTTACATACTTAATATAAAGTTACTTAGGTTAGGTTTAGGCAACTAAAGTCACGTAGGTTAGGTTCAGGAAAGTAAAGTTACGTACATCATGTTACATTATGTACTTGACCAAAACTTACATACTTAATATAAAGTTACTTAGGTTAGGTTTAGGAAGGTAAAGTTACGTAGGTTTAGGAAAAGAAACATGCTTTGACTTTATCCCTTGATGTACTTGATGCAAAGTTATGTAGGTTAGGTTTAGGCAAGTGAAGTTACTTAGGCTAGGTCTAGGAAAAGAAAACATGGTTGGGCTTCATCGCGTTGCATACTTAATGTAAAGTTATGTGGGCTTTGTTTAGGCAACACAACTTAATATAGAATAGGTTTACGAAAGTGAAGTTATGTAGGTTAGTTCTAGGTTAAGAAACATGGTTTAGCTTTGTCACATTAGGTACTTAACGTAAAGTTACGTAGACAAGGTTAGGAAAGTGAAGTTAGTTAGGCTAGGTCTAGGAAAAGAAACATGGTTCGGTTTCGTTGCGTCACATGCTTAACGCTAAATGACGGAGGTTAGGTTTAGGCAAGTAAAGCTACATAGGTGACTTTCAGGCAAGTTTAATTAGGTAGGTTAGGCTCAGGAAAAGAAACACGTTGATGACGTAAATTAAAATAACTCAGAGTTCACTTGATTACACATGGGACACAAATACCGGTGTCTTGGAGTAAAGTTGTGTGTTTGTTTGACCCATTCACCACCCCAACCCACCTCCTTACATGGCTTTAACTCTTTATACTACTTCCTTCTTTACTCCCGTCTGTAAGCACATTGGTCACATGATCACAACCTTCCCTTTAACGCAGATTATATACAAATTCTGGTGCATTACTTTATAGGCACGAACAATGCATGAACAGCCTGCCACAGTGCTAAAATGTCTTCCATGTCTTTGATGATTAACTAAAAATTAAAAATAAAATCTACTTCAACTCAATGACACCGAATGTATTAACTAAAAGTGGAGCCTTCATGTGCCTCCACAGCTATTGTTTCTAACTCTTTAGAGATAAACAGTCATCTGGTCTGCCTCTGCGGACTGAAGTAATCGGGCTCTACTCTGCATTCAGTACACTGTGAGTATTACTAATTAAGGGGGCGTCAGGGGGCGGGCAGGATGACTAAGTGAGACTCTGGGTAAGAAGTGAGCAAAAAGAAAATGCTTTTAACGAAATAAAAGAATAAAGCAGCCAATCTTTTGTATCACTTTGGCTTTACTTAGAGGGAAAATGTGTTTCCAGGGTTTAAAATATATTAGAACGGACAGGAATTGTCAATTAGTTGATCAACAGTGATACCCTGGTACTCCTGTACAAGAGTCCAGACCAGATTAGCCTGAATGGTAAACTACAGAGCAAGTTTTTAATGATAATAGACTGGTGCAAGGTGATTAATCCTGCCATTAGTTGTCTTCTTCCTTCAACCTTTCCCACTGTCTTTTCACTCACACCCTTAGTGGCCTGAACTTTAAGATGCAAGATAAAAACACTTTAGTTAATGACAGCTTCCTTTGAAAAAAGTAAGTTGTTATAGTTGCTGGAAATTGTCTAAACTGCAAGGACACTTTTGCTGCTGGGAAAATGTCAATTTTCGAGTCCAGACCAACACATAAGAGCCTTCATCTACGGACCTGGCTTAGCTGCACTTCTGCATCTCTGAGAAGAGGCTAGATGAGTCTTTAAATAAACCCTGTACCAGTTTCTGATGAATACAGAGAAACTTTTACTTTAACCAGCTCGGTCTGCAGAAGAAAATGTTGGCTTTATACATTTCTGCAAACCACAAATAAGTTATATTTCCACGTGTATGTATCACTATTATGTTATGACCACTGTTTGAGTCAACAAAACCAGCTGTGCTTTAGTGAGTCATTGCTGTTTTCATCTGCTCTTTAGGCTCCAATCAAAATGTGCTCTTTAGGCTCATCCAACCAGGATGATCTACAACTACCGTGGAACCCCCCATCTCATCAGTCCTTGGTGCATCTCAGTCCAGGCAGCAGCAGGAGAGTTCTGTATAGTCCAAGTGGTGTCTTTCAATGGAAAAACTCAATCATCAATCAATCAGGCCTCTGTTCCACTCTAAAATCTCACCTTCTTATACCTTTTTTACTTTCCCTACATGGACATCCTTCATTAGATCACCTACTTTACAGTGCCTTACTAATATGATCATCAATGAATGTTTTAAGTCATCCATTAAACTATCTTCTTAATCTATTCAACCTTGTCTCCCAATGCTGCTTCTTGATGAAACCGTTGTGGAAACGTAATCGCTGTCTGGATTATGCTTACAGAGGTTTCTGTCAGTGATCAAACACTGCAAGCATGCACTGCGCAGGCTTCGCAAAGAGGTGGTTGAGGTAGGTGGCAAGTGTCCAACTGGCAGGACCTTGACAAATCCAAGCTTGAGCGCACGTCAAAACTCCTGTCTTAGGTTTACGCAACAAAAGCATGTTTGTTAAGGTTAGGAAAGATCATAAATTGCCAAGGAAGTGGTTGGGGTAGGTGGCAGGTGACCAAATGGCAGAACCTTGACAAGTCCAGCTTGGGCTTGCTTCCAATCTAGGATTAGACAACAATTATAAAACGTTATAAAACGTTTCCTTTAAAAACACATTTGCTGTTTCAAAATAGTTGTATATGAACAGAATTTCTAAGAGACAGGGCTGAACATCTGGGATAAAGGTCAATTTCACACAAATTTCTAGCCAATCATGAAAAACTGTGTTTGACCTATTTCTGTATTCATAGTATTAGGTAGATGGTGGGTTGTACATATTGCAGGACCTTGACAAGTCCAGCTTGGGCTCGCGTCCAGACTTCTGTCTTAGGTTTAGGCAACAAAAACATGTTTGTTAAGGTTAGGAAAGATCATGATTTTGCTTAAATGTTAGGGTTTCAAATTAGCTGTATATACATGGAAGTTCTAGAAGACAGGGCTGATGTATTGGAGGAACATCTGGGATTAAGGTCAATTTTAAACAATTAATTTTAAATAAATTTAAATTTCTAGTTACCTATTCCTATATTCATAGTATTAGTTCAATATTAATTTTATTATCTATGTTTTTTAGGTTTACATGATGGTGCATTAGGTCCATTGAGAGTAAACATAAATAAATAAATAAAATAAAAAGGGCTTTGCTTCACTTTGTTGGATCAGCTTCTTCACATTACTCCACTTACAATTGCCCTTATATGCAGTCCTTAGTTTATGCCATTTATATGACATAATACTGATTAATAATGTTTGTTTTTTACTGCATAAATATACAAATATATGCATTATTTTTTCTAAATTGTTTGTATCACTTCAGCCTTTAACCAGCTCTGACTTTCCTGACACAGGTCTGAAACTCTTTCTTTACACTTCTTGCTGCTGCAGCTTTTAAATCTTACTTGATTTTATGATTTATTGTTTTATAACTCAATGACCTTATGAATCAGTTAATCCACATTTTAAACTGTTTTAAAAAGTCCTTTTATATTGAATTGCCTTTTCTGATTTATGTCCATTATGTCTATTTTCATGTGAAGCATTATTATGATTATGATTATTATGTTTTTCAATACATCCTCAACCATTCTCATAACTATTTTTCAGTCTAACTTTTATTGTGTAGGGAAATAAGACCACAAATGGTGAAGTAAAATATGCATAACATCTTTTAGCCAATCTTATTATTTTATTTTCTGAACACCACTGAGACACACATTATCTTTTTTTTTTTTGGGTCGGGCTGGGAAAATAAGACGAAGCTGAGTAAAGTTCCAGTATGTCATCGTGTCTGGTGTCTGTGCTTCCTAATGGCATCACCGGCCGCTGATTGGCCGCCCCGCCCGCGAGCTGCAGAGGTGGAAAGGGGGCGTGAACGCGTCTCCGGCGCGCTATATGTACGGCTGTGCGCCTCTCCGGGAGTCAGGGGGAAACGCTCAAGCGAGGCGAGAAGCAACAACAAGCAGCTCACAGCAGAGCAGCGCAGAGAGAGAGACTTGGACATTACACACACACACACACAGCCTGTTACTCCACAGCGGATCCGGCCGGACTCCATACACTTTAATCCAACAGCAGCAGCAGAGAGGAGTGGGAAAAGTTTGGAGACATGCAGTCAATGTACCAGCACCTGATCAGCCTGCTGGTTATCTTGAGCAGCCTGCAGGTTAACCAGCTGACGGAGGGCTGCTCGTGCGCTCTGACGCACCCGCAGGACGCCTTCTGCAACTCCGACATAGGTAAGTAACGGATTGTACCAACTGTTTTACTGCTGGAAATAAGCGTTTCTTTCATTTTACTGAGGGCAGATGTTGAGATACAAGTGACCTGTCAGTCAGTACAGCAGGGAGGACTGACCTGCGATCAGTTTAATGGATGTGCGTCAGTTAAATCTCTCCTCAGCAAACTGTTAACTCAGTAAGTTGCAGACTTATTTTCAGTTTGACTCGAGTGTTTACACCAGAACTACTATTATGAGAAAACTATTATAATGTATTATGGCTCTCTCCAGCACCGCAAAGGGTCAAGTGTTTTATTTAATCTATTTAATCCAAATATATTGTAAATATACATAATATACATATACATATACATAAATATAATGTAGTTTCTGGTCAGCAAAGGACACCAGTGATGCTTCTTAAAGTCAGGGATTCCCTAACATCTCCATGCTCTTCATCCCCACATCGCTGAAGTTTTGGTTTTATCATATTTTTTGAAGCTACAGGCATGTTTGTGTGGCTCAAAGGTGAAGTATGAGCAGTGATTTAAAGCTCCACAGTCAGCTTAGATGTTTCACATTATGCTTATTTATCTGCACTCTGTGGTATTTCTCTGTCCGCTGGGTTGTAACTCAGATATGCCCGGCCTCTGGTACACAAACAGCAGATGAGTGGGGGGGTTTATAGCTTGTTGTACTGCCTGGTTATGCTTTCACTGACTCCCCTTGAATAATATGAACTTGGGATGTGGCTTAGCCCGGAGCGCCGGTCCAACCTGGCCTCTGTTTTTAGATAACACTGGTAAAGACTCTAGGATTATCTGATGTGCCCCGTAGGGTGAGAGGGTGTTTTTGGGTCGGGAGTTGCAGGCGGTTTTGGGGGGCTGAAATGTGTCGATGGGGCAGGATGGCAGCTGATTTCTAGTGGGGAAGGAAGGAGTTTATTTGACTGACGACCTGTCACTTTTTGAGAGCAGCTGACATTTTGCTTCACTATCATTTGACCCAAAAATGCGAAACCGTCATGAGGCTCTCTAAAACCCTGACACATAATCAAACAATAATCTCTCAGTCCTAACTGAGCACACACACACACACCCACACACACACACACACCCACACAGCAGCCATGTGTGTAGCCCATGTGTTCGCCTAGTGTCAACTGACACGCTACAAGGGAAGTCCTACATTCTGCAGCAACACCCCTGTACACACACACAGACAAACACACACTCAGATGTCACTGTTCATGATGCTGCAATTACTACTGGTCACCAGTAGAGTTGGTAATCATAGACTACACATTTATTATTGATGCTCTAACAACACAGTGAAAAAAGTAGACTCTATTTTTAACATTAAATTCACCTTCACACTCCCATTAAGTGTTTTTTTATAGCAATTTTATGCCTATATTTCATTCCTTATCCTTTAAGGTACAATTGTGTCATCAAGGGGAATCAACCCATTCGCAAGAATAAATGTTGTACACTTCTGCAAACCATGGATACGTTACATTTGTACGCTAATATGCATAGATACTTTGTAATTTTTTGTTTCAACATCGCTGTGGTTAATGTGTGGTTACATTTAGGCACCAAAACCACTTAGTCATGGTTAGAAAAAGATCATGTTTTGGCTTAAAATATTAATACCTGTTGGCAGGAAATACAATAATGTCTTGGTCACTTTTCGTGGCACTATCTGCAGTGGAAACACAGTGACGGGTTGCTAAAAAATAGCCGCATTTGGTGGCTAGAAAGCAGTCAGAAGACACAGCAACTACTTGCTAAAAAACGACTGGTTTTGTCGTTTGTTGGTCCGAACAGTGGTCTAGAGATTGGCAAGCGTCTCACCTAGATGCCACACTATCACTATCCACCATCCCCTCCACCTACTGATGACAAACTCAGCTCATATACCACGTAGCATTGTGGAAGAATGCTAAATTGCTTTCATCAGCAAGAGAAAATTGGTACCACTTTCATGTCAGGTAACATAAATATAAAGCTTGAGCTAAGATAGCCTACATAAACTAGCTTTAACACTTTAGCACAAAGTTAACAAACAAGATAATACATGTTAATTAGTGAGCTTTGGAGGTGCTGCTAGATGGATTTTGTACTTTGGGCAGAGCCAGGCTAGCAGTTTCCCTTGGTTCCAGCCTTTATGCTAAGCTAAGCTAACTGGCTGCATGCTCATTGAACTCTCGGAAAGAAACAAAAAGGCATTTTCCCCAAACTGTTGAACTACTCCTTTAATTATGACCTCAAAATAAAAATCCTTCATAACCAATGATACAACATATTTTTGAACAGTCGTTCTTCCCATGATGCAAAACTGCCTGTTTCTACTTAACTGATCTCCTATGGCAGCAAGAAAGACTTCACATAAAGGCCATGCCATGCCTTTAATATGCAGTTTCATTAGCCGTGTCCTATTTCTTCTACACTGTACATCATCACTGCACTACAAGGTTTTCCTCCTCCAACGGCTCCTCCAAATGCAGCCAAGAAAATAAGGCTTCTTTGGCCAAATTCAGCGGACACAAGCAGTGTATTTTATGTAGGCGTAAGTCACTTCTTTTAGTTCTGACGTGGGCGGGAGCTCACAATGATGCTTTGGTGAATCCTCTGTAGAGTGTTCAAGGGAAGGAGGTGCAGGTTTAGCCTACTAGCATTCTGAGGACCCCACCTTTATGACACAAGTCCAGTGAAGTAGGACAGATCTTGCAACCTCAGGAACCAAACTAGTCACTCTATGTCTCCTGCTCTTTGGTAAACCCTGATCACCAGGCCTGCGGGAGCTTCTTCAGCCAAGTGACCCGGTTGGAGCGAGTGAAAATGCCGCCTCCACAAACACTTATGCGATGCCTTTCACAGTCCTTCAGATCTTCAGATAGCTCATGGTGCTGGCACCCACTGAGCCTTGCCAGTGTAGAATCTGGGACTGACTTCAATGGGCGCAGTGATCAGCAGTGAGCCTCGCAAATCCCATTTTCAAGGTCCCGGCTTAGCCTGAGGTGTGCTTTGAATGCTCGTGGCCCCTCTTGCACCTTGGCCCTCGGAGGGAAACACTTCTGAAACACCGGTTGGATGCCGTGGTCACAGCTTGTAACATTCGTTAATCTGGGTCAAATTTACTTTTCCAGGACTTCCTTAATTGGAATGAACAGTCCAGACTTTGCCTGAATAGTATAAAGTGATCCACCTTAGCTTCTATTGTCATTTTTCCATGTTACGATTAAAATGCATATATCCAGAATAATGTTTAAGCAAATCAACACATCAGTTTAAAGGTATAATGTAAACACAATTTAATGTGATCCTCCAATCCAGATTCATTCATGTCCTCACCATCTATTTCTATCCCTTTAAACTAAAACCTGTTCTTCTGCTTGCGTCACCAAGCCCCGCTTAAACACACAGATGTGGAAAACAAATGGCATGGGGTTGAAATGCTAATGCAGTGAGGGAGAAACCCTGTAATTCTCACCATCTACATCAAAGGCGACAGGCCTGAATCTTCCCAATTTAAGACCCGTAGTTGAGTTCAAAGCTCTTGTTTTCTTGGCCTCGACCCATAATCACCCGCGGGCACTCCACTGGATGAATCACAATTAGGTTAAAGGGCTGGAAATTGGGTTATTGGAGTCTGTCTCTCTTCATTTGACACATTTGAATTGAAATATTTCAGAGCGTGAAGGTGCTCTAAGAGCTCTTTCCCTTCATTTTGATGGTGGTATGTTAAAGAGAGACCTGGAATACATTTGAAGTAATTTTCTTGCCTCCTGTTTGAATCCATGCCCATAAAATGCCCTTTTATGTTCAGAGACGTCTACTACAGTCCATTTGGCCGAGTCAGTTTTCCCTGCTAACATACCTGGGCACCAGGCAATGACCTGGCTGCTTTCTTGTGCCGAGACCTAGTTGGCTGCTATTAGGCAGCTGGTTTAAAGCAGCCCATTCACAGGGGGAAATGAGCAGTGCTTGTTTTTCCAAAGCCCTCTGAAAGCAAGATTAGAGGCCCGGCAGTAAACTCTGACCCTGAGATTTAATATCGCTCCGTAAGGACGCTAGTTCCCAAGTGCTCGGGGTGACAGAGCAAACCTTTACATGCTTGCACCGCGAACCAGGTCAGTTGCTGAGGATTAGCGTGATATGTGTTTATGCTCGATTTGGGGTTGAGGATCAGGCCATTGAGAGAAACTGATCCCGCCCTGCTGTGGGTATTTTGTGCAGTATAGAGCAGCTTTGTGCAGCATAGCAGGTTTAGAGTGATGCATGGCCTGGGGCTTTGTGACGGGGCTCTCCTGGTACCAATACACCCTTCTTCTACTACTGAGTAGTTAAATCACTACTCCCTCCATCAGTTGCTCAACCCTCCTCCTCATTGTGCAGGTCAACAGGTGACAGATGATAACCTGAGCGAAGCCAGGACTCCTGTTATGTTATTATGTAAGCTTGAATCAGATACCCGTAGTTTTCCCAAAAGTGAGCTAAAACACGACGAGATGTCAAAGGTTCTGGATTCCGTACAAGCCTGGGATATTCGTCCTATGAGCTATTAGTATCAAATGTCCAGTTTGTCCCTCCCTTCTCTGGTGATGCTCTTTTAAACAGGAGGCCAGCACAGGGGCGATGGACATCAGCCCAGCACACACTCATGATACAACAACTATTGCACCACATAGTAATGATTTATTCTCCTCCAGTTTCACTTGCTGTAAAGGGAGCTTTGAGCAATTTGACCTTTATCGACCTTGCAACGATTGTAACACACTATCTGTCACCAGAATGTCACCTTTATCTATGGTGGCCTGTAACTGCCAAAAAAAGTGAAGTCAGACTTTCAGGAACAAGAGCAGACAGATCCAAACAGAGATTGAACTACAAAACAAGAATTCCATTTTAACGTCACTGACATTTTAACAATCATCCAACCAATGAGTCCAAAAGGAAAAGTTGAGAGGCAGCCAGCGAGAAAGAGACACGGCAAGTGAGTGAATGACAAAGATAA